CGCTTCGCGGATGGCGTGCCAGAGGGCTTCTTTACCCTCTTCGCTCGCCTGGAGTCCCCAGGCGATTTCTGCACGGGGAGAATCCCGAAAAAACGTGTCCATCGGCAGGTTGGCAGACCCCTTTTTGTAGTGTCAGCCCTTCCTGAGCTCCCAGACTTGCGGTTTCGGTTTGGACCAGTTTGGCAAACGAAAAGCCTGGACTTTGGCTCAAGCATTTTGGATGCTAGTTATGGAAACCACGAAACGACATGCTGAGGGTTCCCTAGAGACGGCCCCTTAAGATGGCTTGCGCTACCTCCCTCAAACCACAGGTGTCCCACTCATCGTGCACATGAGCAAATGGTGGGTGCCCACGCACCAGAAGTCTCAATTTTGATTTCTGGATCTTTGACAGTTTGACCTTAACAAGAGACTGTTACCCCAAAGGCCCAAAGAAATACTTGACTTGCCAAGTCGGTTCAACATTCAAGTTCGAATGCCAACTCTGTCGTTGTCCCAGTCTTTTCCATTGATGTTCCCTAGCAAGCCTCAAGAAGGGTACCGTGCAAACAGCAGCACCATGTGGGGCTCAAGCCCAAAATCCATCCATGCAACGTACACCTTCAGAATGATCACGAAGATGCAGCGGAGCCCATGGCGTCCTACTGTGCTTGTTGTGATTCTCAGCATAGTTCCAGCTGAAGCTGTGCATTTGGTTCACGTGCAGGAGGGTCTGACTCAGCACGAGGCCGAAAACCTTTGTTGCGATATGGGTGGTACTCTGGCGCCCTACGTCGTGGCTCCAGATGTCATCAAGGATCTGACCAGGCGTTATGGCGGTGCGCGTCTCAAGAGGGACAGTTATGGCTCCGAAGCGAATATTGCAATGAACCAGTCACTGCACTCTGGTGAAGCTGGTCAGGACAACGGCTTTTGGGCTGGATATTGTTATCGCTGCATGGCTGCTCATGAGGCTAAACCAGCTTTGTGCTGCATTGGAAACGAATGTGCCGAAGCCACAGACGTTGCCAATGTGACTGCCAGCTGCTGGGGTTGCCAGATCGATGAGGACTATCCACCAGAGGACTATGTTGTGCCGTGGGAAGGTAATGTCAGCCTGTTCGAGACGAGCAAATATACTGCACTGGGTAACGATTGGAAACAACACCTGCAATGTGGGGATATCGATATCAGCTCTACGAGCTCTACGAGCCCTACGAACCCTTGGGGGGCTCGATTCGTGTTGCTCTTCGCGGCACTCGTGGTGGCATAGGCTAGTCGAACGTTGCTACAACCGCACACTGGCCTGGGCCTTCCTGAACGGAGGCAAAAATCGCCTCAGAGGCAAACATCGCCTTTTGCTTCAGTATATGAGCTAAAAAGCGAGACCGCGCCTTTGCCCTTGTGGGAAATGATATGGAGACTAGAGACCTGAGCTTAGTTGAACATTGCAAGTTTGGTTTCATGGACGTATGCAGTCAGCTGGTCCGCAACCCTTGGTGTTCCACCCATGGCAATGATTACAATCAGCCTTGTTCTTAAGTAAGCTGTACCTATGGCTTTTATGGCACCACAACCAAGGATCAAGAACTGCTTCAACTCCAATCTTTGGACTCTACCCGGGGCTTTGAATATTGAAGCAGTCATTAGGCAGCTGTTCATCCTTCCCTTGGGTTCGAGATATACAGCCACTAGCCATTTTGCGTTGATAAGAAATCCTGGTGTGCTCAATAACTGTGGTGGAGAGTTCTTAAGCCGTCGCAAGCAGCGTCAGCTGTACAGGCACCCGGATCGAGGAGCAGCAGCTGGCCGATTGCCAGGAGCAGAACTGCGCCTACGAGCCCATGAATATGCCAGGCCGAACAAACACACACCTGATGAATCCATTTCGCATCCGGGATGGATCAAGCGCCATGAAAGATGCTGATAAGGCTAGGGTTGAGCAAAGACAGTTCTCCCTTGCATTTTCCTTCTTCAAATGGGCCAAAGCTGGGGCTGCTAAGGCGAACGATGGATGCACAGAAACTTTCAAACGGGGTTTATCCATCAATCTGAGTTGGGATGGATGAACCCCTGTAGATACCGGTTGATCAGCCAGCAATCCCTGCGGCGCTTGGGGAGGCTTCGAGCGGATCGCCTTGGGCGGGCTCTCAGAGTGCCAGAGTAGGTGCGCCGCTCGGCAGCAAGGCCACCGGGCCCCATCCCATGTTGGCCATTTGGGTGCCCATTTCCAATCGCGGAACTTGCTGCTGGATGATGCAAACGAGGCTGAAAGGACGAACTGAACATACCCAGACGGATGGTCACCAATTGGATGAATAGGGGGGGTATTTTTGAAAACCACGCAGTCAGCTACTACAAGAAGGAGACCACAAATGCCACAGACCAAAGGGCTGTTGACCATGGGGGCGCGATGGGGCGGGATGTGTTTTGGCAGAGCGATGAGATCGACCCAACTGAGGCGCACACGGCCAACTGTGCTCACTTTACCTGGTGGGGCGATGGTGGCTGTCACCTTGCGGAGCGCGTCCAGGGGAGGTTCGGGAAGTGGGGCTCATGCCCAAACCAGTGAACCTTGAGTGTTCCTGGTAGAAATGGGAAGGACATGGAAGAACCTACCTTCAACCATCAAGTGAACTGGGGTAGAGCCAACGTACGCGTGAGTCATGAGTCATTCCAGTATTCTTTCTGAGCGAGATCAAGGAGCCTTGGTCTCATTGGGGAAGTGTCCTTCGCTAGCCTCTAGAGGAACCCCCTTTGAAAGATGTGAGGTTTCTATGATTCCTTTCTGGAGCCATGGCGTGAGACACTGACAAGATGTTTCTTTCGTGGGAATGCTCGTGAAAGGCTGACAGCCGTCTCACGATGAGGGCACGATTTTGTGGTTCCTTTCACACAGCTGAGTTTTATAGATTGTGCCAGGAAGGAACACACATTGTACCTCAATCTCAAACGGACATACCTCCTGCACCGGCGGAATATCTACCCGGAGGGATTCTAGCTGATCTGGGTCAACTATGGAGACCGCACAAAGGAGGGTTTGCGACCTCACCAATTGTCCTTCCTTGCGGATTCCTGATTTTAGGTGTGTGAATTACTCCCCTGCAAAATAACACGGCCCAAAAAGGGGCTCCAAAGCGGATTCCTCTACAGACAGTCTTTTTAGTTGGGTTCCACAGTCTGCCAGAGAGTTTAGCAATTTGCCCACGAGGCACTGCAGCCTTTGTGCGAACACAACCTTCGGAATATTCAGGGTTAAGGGCTTGTGGCTTGCAACCTCAACCATGCGCGTCGAAGGTGGGGACCCCTCAGAAGCTTTCAACCAATAAGCAACACCATATAGCCAGTTGCTAGGAGCGTAACAATGTATTCAGGCATTGTTGGCCGGGCAAACGAGGTGTGGTCGTGCTTTGGCTTGCAGCCACCTTCTTTCGGCCAACCTTTGCAGAGCGAAATTTCATTCTCCGCCGCGTTTGACGACAGCCATGTCCCAGCAGTGAGCCATCTCTTTCGGTTTTTGTGGAACATATTTATTGTTTCTGCCTTGTTGCATATTCTTGCTTTTACTGGCATCGACATGAGTGATCCTGTGCAAGCATTTATGTTAACCATGCTGGGGTCGAAAATTCATTGATTGACAAAAACTGGCATCAAGCTTGCCAAAGCTGCAGACAGCACGCTTGCTGGTTTGCATTCCTTGCGAAACCCTCATGTGCTTAGCAGTGGGGCGACGGTGGCAGCTTAGCGGATTAGTTTTACCCCGGAAGTTCCCCCCCACCTCCAAAACAGCAATTTGAAACAATTTAGGACAAAAGCCAGCAGTTGACCGGCGTAATAGGGTATGTGCACCTTTGATCGTTTGTTACTGTCCGGGCAATTGCTGGCCGTTGACGCAACATGTTGGTTTGCAATTTATTTTCATTCCCTGAGTTCGTGAACTTTATTGATACTTGTTGGGACCATTTGAGTGGTAAATGGCAAGTTCAGATCTGAGTGGGCTAAAGCGTTAACCGTAGGTGGTCGCTTGTCTTGACTCTTAATAAGTATCCACTTGGGCCACCATTTTGGCTCAAGTGGACCTTTTGATCTTTTGTCTTGTGATTTGAAATCTTTCTTTCCCCTACTCTCAAAGCCATGTACGCCCCCGCCTACGCTGGTGCCGCGGTAGCAGAGGCCAAGGCTAAGGCAAAGGCCTCCATGGCAAAGTACCTGGCGAGCCTCGTGAAGAGGGAGGAAGAAGGATGGACCGTTTTGGCTGCTGAGGTCCCTCAGGCACCTGACGAGCGTTTCTTCTCCAGCGCAGATGAGCTGGAGCAGGCCCCCCTTATCCCGGCCAAGCGCAAGGCAGAGGATGAGCCGATGGAAGATGCAGCCCCTGGGGTGGCGCAGGTGCCGAAGGCCCTGACACGCCCCCCAGGGGCGTTCCTGGAGCTCCTGAACCCGCCGGAGGAGGACGTGCCCATGGAGGAGCTCCTGGCGAAGGACGAGAAGGAGCTGCCGATGCCCAGGTTCCCCTCGGCTGCAGCCCGCTTGGAGGAGGCCCGCCTGGATGCCCGGGCAGACGCCAAGTGGCAGAGGCGCCGGGAGCTGATGGCGAAGGTCAAGGAGCAGGCGTCCTCGGAGGAGGATGAGAACCCCGCAGCCCCCCCGCCGGGGGGGAGCGTGTTCACCAAGGCCCTCAAGGTCTCGGAGGGCCTCTACCAGTTCAGCGACGACCAGATGGCGGGCGACTTCCCTTGCTTCGATGCGACCACGGCCACTAGGCTCCGCCGACTGCAGGCCAAGGACGTCCAGCGGCTCCTGCGAGGCTTTGAGGGCCCCCAACTCAAGCAGGGGGGCCTGGAGCGCGTTGTGGAGGCCTTCTACATCGCCAAGATGAAGTACGAGCATGAGGCCCGGCTCAGCACCCCGGGACAGCAGGTTGGCAAGCGCGCTGGCTTGGGGTACGGGGGCCTGGAGAACCGCCCCCTGGGCAAGGTGCCCACATCCTGGATCTGCCCCTGCTGCACCATGCCCTGGGTGAAGAAGGGCGCCACGAAGTGCATGGGGTGCGGCAAGAAGACGGAGCCCATTGACATGGCGACCAACTCGGCCACCCTGGAGATGGCGGGCACGCATTGGCAGTTGACGGTGGACTGCGATCCATCTTTTGGGCTGCCCCCCACGATCCGGATGAGGACTTCCACTGCCAGATCTCGTCCTGGACACTCCCAGGCCTGCTGGGGATGTTCGGGCACAGCTACACCCTGCGCCAGCTCTGGGGAGTCTGGGAGTCTCTGCCACTGCTGCAGGGCCCTAGGCAGCGGGGCCCGAAAAACAAGGCCCAGAATCAGACCCGCTGAAAGACCCTGAAGGAGGACGCGCGGTGCTTCCTGAAGGAGGAGGGCCTTCCGTTTCCGCAGACAGGACCGGAGTGGCGATTGGTCTACCGGGCCATGGGCAAGGTCCTCGCGGCCCGGGCCTTCCTCACGGACACCCCGGCGGAGGTGATGCAGCTCCCGGTCCAGGACGTGGCGGACTCCAAGGAGCAGATGATCCTGCGGGCGGTATGCGACGAGCGCATCTCGGTCCCGGTGGAGAGCCTCCAGCAGTTCCCAGAGGTGTACAAGGCCCTCATGGACCGCATTGGAGGCCCGGGGGCCCTGGCGGAGGTGAAGGTCAACTGGCGCTGCAACACGAAGCAGTGGTGGGTCGGCGCAGTCCCCGACTCAGTGGCCCCCTCCATCTACCGCAAGCTCGGCTACACCAACGACATGATCAAGCTGATGGGCCTGGACCCCTCCGCCCCTGGGTGCCGGACAGGTGCCGATGGCCCTGACATCCGCCCCAGGGGAGGCGAGGGCGATGAGGGGATCGTTTACCCCCCCATCACGGCGGACAACGTCCACGGCGTGGTGGGTAAGGACTACCGGAAGAAGAACTATCCGGTGGAGATGAAGCATGTCTTCTGGGCGCACATGGAGTGTGGCCTGGTCCTGAGCTCCGTCACCCCGTGGGAACTCATCCCGAAGACAAAAGGGGAGACCCGGGGGGGCTACATGTGCAAGTATTGTAAGGGGTACTGGCGTGCCGGGGGAGGGGGCACCCGCCTCCTCCAGATCCGGGCCGGCAAGGCCATCTTGCAGCTGGTGTTGGACGAGCCGCCGGAGGGCCTCTACAACCGCTGGGTGAAGGAGCGGCTGGAGTACTACCGCCGGGTGGAGCCCTCGGCCCCGTTGCGGGACGTCTCCATCGACCCCGAAGGGGCCTGGAGATGTTTCTCACCCCTATCCCAGGGGGCCAGTGCCCCGGGAACCAGGGGACACAGGTGCCGAGGGCCCTGAGATGTCCCCAGATCTCAGGCGGCGGATTGACGGGGTCCGCACCGGGTGAACCGCAGCCGGACCGCTGGACGCACAGGTGCCGAGGGCCCTGAAATGCGACAGCGGGACCACACGGCATACGTGGAGGGAGGACCTCCCCAACGACCAGCTCGTCCGTTGGTATTGGCAGCTGATGCGATCCGTCCGTTGGGGATGGCATCAATTCTACTCCCATCAGCTGCTGAGGGGAGCTGCCCAGTGGAGCTGGGCAATCCTCCCATTTTGGCACTAATCCTTATGCGGCGTAAAGGATGCACCGTTTCGCGATTAAGGTACCAGTAGCACCAATGTGGTGCTTTGAAGAGTCTGGGCTAAAGCGTTAACCGTAGGTGGTCGCTTGTCTTGACTCTTAATAAGTATCCACTTGGGCCACCATTTTGGCTCAAGTGGACCTTTTGATCTTTTGTCTTGTGATTTGAAATCCCGCCCACCCACACCATGGCGGTGACACCAGATGAGTTGGTGGCACCACCACAGGAAGTTCCTGGAGTGTACACGGACGCAGTGGCTAAGCTCCACAAGACCGCCAGGAACCTCATGGTCCTCAAGGGCATCCCGTGGTTCATCCAAGCGACACTGTCGGATGAGGGCTTTGTCTCGATGGAGGACCTCGCGACCCGGTGGGACTCGCCCGACCGTGCAAGGGAGACGGCGCCGGGGGAGTTGGGCTTCGCCCCCAACAACCACCACTACACGGATGTGACCTCCCGGCTGATCGCGGCCCGCATGTTCCAGGTGGTTCACGCGGCTCAACGATCCATGGGAGTTGGGGCGCATGCAACAGCGGGACCCGGGCCACACACGCCCGGGGACACCGCCCCGAATCTCACGGTCTCGTGCGAACGGGGACAGCTGGAGAGGGTTTGGGAGGAGAAGACCAAGCTCACCAAACCCAAGCTGGCCCTTCAAGGAAGCGACCAGCTGGTGAAGCGCCAGTTCAAGCTCTGCGCAGGAGGCGAGATCGGTTTCATCCCCATGAAATACCTGGTAAGCGCACTCCCGGAGCCAGGAGAACGGCCATGGAAGACCACTAAGAAGAGCACGGTTGATGGCTGGGACCGGGAGGATGAGGTGGAAGAGCGGGGCGAGCCCAAAACTCGCCACCAGCTCGAGAGGATGCACGCGGTGTTCCGCAACACCCTCCTCATGTGCGTCCTCT